CATCTATGATATTCTAACATCCATGCCCAGCTGGTGCACGCTTCCATTTACCTGTGGGGGCTCTTTGCCTCTTGAGGGGGAGGTAGTGCTGCTGGATGATGCCAGAGAGGTGGGGCTGGCCTGGGGGGGCCCCTCCTTACGAGACGGGGGCATCTTGTCTAAACCATTCTCCCGTGACGAGTAGGACTGCACGCTGCGGGGGGATGAGGGGTCCTGAACGGTAAAACAATAAAGTTCATTCAACAAGATGGGAAAAAAATAAAATTGTGTTTATTTAAGCAGCTGTTTTGCTTGTTGTAATCTCTGTTTACACATGATGATGATTATGATGATGACCATGAACACCCACTATCCTGCTTTAAATTTAAAACCAGATTACGAGTGCTGCTTTTTACTTTTGTCTTATTTTAATAAGAAAAACATCTTTTTTCCCAACATGCATGCAGTTGAAACTGTGCACCTATGCATGTGTTTAGCAGAAGCGTGTTCAGCTAAGTGAGGCCAGGTGGAAGCAGAGGACGGTGGCAGGGGATTATTGTTATTCATACGATTCTGCTGGGTATGTTTACARGATCCGAGCTGATGAAAGCGGTCAAGTGAGGCAAACAGAGGCCGGCGGCCGCCTACTAACCTCATCCACCACCAAATTATCATCGCTCTTATCCGCATCACTGCCCTGCGAGAGGGGAAAAAAAAGAGAGAAAGAAAGGGAGATGTTCATGTTCTGCTCCCTGTTGTAAGCAGATTACAAGTGGACAAACAGACAAAACGCACATGCAGAGATGTTTTTGTTTGGATTTTTTTTATATATGGGATCATTAAAGTCCTAAACACGTTACAATCGAAGACCCTGTACAAAAACTGAGCCCCCTCACACAGATCAATACTTCTGATCTTTCACAGTTAGGCAGCAGCAGAGGCAGGTGGAATGTAAATATCTCAGAAACTTTATTTAATAGAAGGAAAGTTCTTGAAACTGCTGATGCACAGCTGAAAGCTGAGAGAAACTTTCCTAGTTTCTCAAACATTTGAAGTATTAAAGCATTCTCACGTAGTCCGTCATGAACTCCTTCTCATCCGCTTTCCTTTTCTTGCCGTTGCTGAGGTAGTCTGCTGAACGACCCTTATCCCCGTTGGAAAGAGAGCTCTGCAGAGACAAAAGGTGCAGGGGGTGGAGGGGGATTAGATTGAAAAAAAAAACGAGAGCCAAAGGGTGAAGCGAGGAGTGAGGGAGTGAGGAGGAGATTAAGATGAGAATAGGAAGGACAGGAGTTGAGGAAAAAAGGGGGGTGCAAAAGCAGAGAGGAAGGAAGAGGGTGATAATGAGGTGAGAGGGACTGCATAAATCATGTCGGGCTCATGAGTGAAGACGAGGCGGKGTCGACTGGCCGAGGCAGCTGGAAGCCCAGTTTCTCCTTAAAGCCAACCCAGAGGACGGTAGAGGAGCTAAAAATCAAAGCCTGGGTGTGTTCTGTAATAATTTGTCTGTGTGTGAGAACTGACTGGAGCACAGGAACCTTTACAGACCAGCCACTTCTTCACGAGCAGTGATTTGACKCATGGTTCCCCCCCCACGAAGGAATTTACAAGTTTTAAGTTGGTTTTTYACTTCTGAGCTTAGATTTTGTGGCAAATTACTGAGAGTTGACAGTTTTACACATAAATCAGGTACAAAAGTTTGAAACTGAAACTACAAGCAACACTGACTTAAATATAAACAAGAGAAGCTTATTTATATAAAATAAAGTCCATTTTTGATGATTTATTCTAAGTAAGTGTGCACCGATCTTTGGATAACTGACACTGTCAGGTGTTATACACCTTCAATGTTCCAATCTTATTGTAATGAAAAACACTGAACAATTGAAACAATACAAACTTGTTTTAACAGGACAATAGGAATGCGCAATATAAACGATATACGGTAGAAACAATATAAATTTGTCCTATGATAGAGGTCTGTAGTCTACCAGCCAAC